TGATCGTGCAAAACCGTGCAGGGTGGGTTTTATTTTTCTGTTCCGGTCTTCATTGGAAGTCGAAACAATGCGAAACATCATGCACGGCCGTGCGTATTGTGCCGTAGATCTCTGTTCGTGTAGAGCACGTATGGTACTTGTATTTATTAGGGGAAGCAGTGAAGCTAAGACACACTTGCATGGACGTGCATACGTACCTACATCTCTCTGTTTCCTTTTGTTACCACTTTCTGTTTTCTCCTTCGGCTTTGATGCATTGCCATGCGAAAGTACCTTTTTTTTTGTGGGCATTCGATTCGCGTGTAAATGCATTCCTTAATGCATGGCCGTACGAAAGTCCTATTTTTTTTCCCTATTTTTTGAGTGGCTGTGCACTTTAAACTATTTACTAATCTTTCTCCTTCATTGCATTTGTATGTTTTAGGTTATCCTCGCTGCCTGTTCATCGGCATGGCACCCGTGAAGAAGAGGGCCAGGCATACTAAGAAAATCACCGGCGTATCTCCATCCATGGTTCCTGCCTCCGACGACCAAGCTTTGAGGCCATTTGAGAACCTGGCGGATGCGGAGAAGTTCAACCGACTGAAGAAAGTAACTTTTCTTACCAGATGTTACATAACCGAAGAGGCAGTTGTTGCGCTTAATGCAGTGAGTGAGTGTGAGAGGTACCTCGGGGTGGGTGCTTGGGGACGTTTCTTCGACATAAAGGACGACACGCAACGTACGTTGACATTGGAGTTCATGAGTACTCTAGCCGTTGACAAGAAGCACTTGCACGAGTTCGACTATCCCGCCACACTTACCTTCCGCCTCGGCAATAAGAAGTTTCAGCTCTTTGTTACCGAATTTTCCATTGCTATGGACCTGTACGACAAAGAGTTCGCGAAGACAGTCGAGTACAAATCGTTGCAAGGAGAAATGCAAGACGCGCAGGAGCGGTATTGGATTTCCATCATGAACTCGAAAGTTTACAATCCTGGAGTGTCAAAGGCGTCCGCACTCCGCTCACCCGCGTTGAGGTATATACATTACATACTTGCGCATACTTTAACAGGGCGTAACTCCAGTAGTAGCGTCGTCAAGCGGGATGACCTAAAGTATCTATGGAGCATGGAGCGTGGGTTTCCTATCCATCTCGGGTATTGTCTTGCACAACTACTAGCTAGGCAGGCAGACGACGGCCGTTTACGGGTCATATGTATCGGTCCGTACGTGACTCGGCTGGCGCATGGACTAGGAGTCACGACGGGATTTGTGGAGAGCCCCGCGTCGAAGATGAAACCCGGTGGCATTGACGTCCTCATGCAAATGGGCCTAATCCAGAGGCGACGGCGTGGGGATCCGGTCACGCACATTGACAAAACTACGATCAATTCAGGTGAGCAGGGATCCACGTCCTCGGTAGATACAGTCGTTGCCGGATTCCACCGCCGTCTTGAGGATATGGAGAAACGCATCGAGGCTCACCTACTAGCGATTGAGCGCAGAGTTGATGCATTGTGCGCGCACTCTCTAGTGTTGGACGGAGGGCCATCCTCGTCGGGTGCATTGCGACTATCGCGTAAGTGATAATATACTTGTTTGCTCAATGAACAAACTAGGTGCGTACTTGTATTCGGCGACGACATCATGTACTCGTTTTCCTTTCGATGTTTTGTTGGCTTACCTAAGTCTCGGTCCGATTGTACCGCCCGTGTGTTGGACGCCATATGCGCATGATGTGATTTTTCCGTTGACGGTTGTTAACATTTTATTTTCGGCATACTCTATCATGTCGGGTAAATTGGTCGTATTATATATTAAACGTAATTTGCACCAAAGAAATATTTTTTGCACTAGGCCGGCCGTACGTAGCGAAAGGCTTCTACCGGGAACCATTTTTCCTAGAAATTCTTCCGCGGGTAAAACATCACACTTTATACTTATTGCATGTTCTTATGTAATACTCCCTCTTTCCCGAAATTTTCATCTGTTTTACTGTAGGTACGACAATTTATGAGGGGATACATAGACAATAATTTCAAAATATATTACTGGAAGTAAGGATCGTGTAGTAAAAATAATTATAGATTACGATTAAGATAACTTATTAGTATAATTAATATTAATGAATTTATAAATTAAATTTTTAAAAATAAGACTTAAATGTATAACACTGTTACAAATAATAACAAAATTAGTGGAACGGACGAAAATAAAAAGGTGGACATAACAAGTGGTATGGACAGAGTATAAATTAATTAATTAAACTAAATTAATAATCACATCACTGCAATCATTATCTATCACATCACTACTCAACAAAACCCACTAAATCCAAATATAAACCTACTACACCAAAAACACACAGATTTCCAAAACTCCTAAAAAATTCAAATCCAATCCAAACCCAAACTAAATCTTCCCAAACCCAACATAAAAAACACACCCTTAGTTTCTCTGTTGACATGATACAGAGAATAAGTATTACATGAAAAAGATAAAAAACAATGGAAAAACTCAAAATAAATTTTCTTAAAATTATAACAAAAGGATGAGCTAACATGTATTGATTTGAAATGAACCAATTTTACACCCCGGAAAATAAATAATAGGCAAAGTTGTAAATAATTTCATTGTAATTTTAAAAATCAGCGTAAATCTTATGTAGTTCAAGTAATATTTTTTAAAATATAAAGGAACGCTGACAAATTTTTAAAGTATAAAGGATATTTATATTGAATTTCGAAACTATATAAGAGTTATTCGCAATTTTGTCTAAATAATAATGCCTTTGTCCCTTAATAATTCATTCATTTTTCTATTTTGGTCTGTGTAATAGTAAAATATCAATTTTTTTTTTCACAGTACTATCTACCTAACATTACAAATACTCTTCAAATTTATAATATATTACACAAATATCATTACATTTATGACATACAATACTAATAAGGGTATTTTAATCTTTTTTATTTTTATTTCTACTAAATCTCAATATAATACTAATATTTTTAAAATTTCTTGTAAAAAATAAATTGATAGATAAATATGAAGCGAAGGAGTATTTCTTTAGTCTATCAAATTTATAATTTTTATTTTTTGTTTGTCTATAAAAAATCTATACTTTTCATTTATATTAAATAACTTTTACACATTCTTTCATTTGTATCCTTCAATATTAAAGGACTACTATTTACGCACTTTTTATTTATTAAAAAATATTATCACTTATTGATCAATATAATATTTCTTCTGTACACCAAATATTGGTTTGATAATAATACTAGGGGTGTTTATTTTGTGGAAATATTGGAAAAAAAAAAATTTATATGGTATATAATGAATGAATAGAAAATATAAAAATAATTAATAATGTAGTATATTAATATTTTAAGAAAAACGTAAGAGAAAGAGAAAATAGGAAGAACAAAGCCACTGTATTGATTAAGTGTTATATAAATTACGAATATTTTGAATTGTATATTAATGAATTAATAAATTGAGAGAAATTTTTGATAAATTAAAGAGTGTGTATTCAATTATGATTTTGTTACACTTTTAAAAATGGGTGTATTCAATCAAAATTTTCAAAAGTCTTTTAAAATTTGAAGGTATTCAATCCATATTTTTTAAAATCTATGGACTTTATTGGATTTTAATGAAAAATTATAAAAATTTGTATTGTATAAAATCTTTCTAATAAGTAGAGATTTTGATGGATTCTTAAAATTATTATTATTATTATTATTATTATTGGTGTTGTTGTTGTATACCTGATAAATAATATGATAATATTTATTGATATTATTATAATTTTTAATAAAAATAATAATTTGAAATTATTATTATTATCAATTTGTTTTTTTGGAAACATATATTTTTATATTATAAATATAATATTTAAAAAACATTACTATCATAATAAATATATATTATTGTTTTGTTTTATTCTCAATTATTAAATACAATATATTGTCGTTCTCCCTTTTAAATTATCGAATACATTGTATTGTCGTATCGGTGAAAGTGAAATAGATATTTATATATATATTTTTTATTTGAACTATTAGTTTATATTTATTTACTTTTTTATTTTAATATTTATTTCAAAAAACGTAAATTATATTTTTATACTTTATTTATATATATATTTATTTATTTTTATGTAAAAGATTATATAAATAATAACAATAACTAATAAAAAATATAAAAATAATTTGATATATTGAATGATAATATAATACTAAAAACTATAAAATATAAAATATTACTAATATACAATATAAGTAGTGTTATATATGTTATAATATGTTTTTATATTATTAATAATTATATATTATTTATTTATTAATTTTATATTATAAATATATAATAATATATAATAAATTTAATTATAAATATATTATATTTATAAAACTTATATTTAATATAAATTTATATTATTTTATATTAATAAAAAAATTATTATTCTTCGATCATACGAAATTCATATAACTCCACAAAAAATTCAATCAAATCCGTAAAAATTCATCTAAATCAATTATTAAAATCCATAAAAGTCAGCGTAAACTCTGTCATTTAAAAAAATCCACATAAATTCATAGACTTTTCAAAATCCAAAAATATCCATTAAAATCCCAATGAAATACACCCCCTAAATGTAAATAATTGTGGATCATTTGTAAATAAATATAATAATGAATTATATATTAAAGAAGTGTCTAATAATTATTTTATATAAATAAAAATTAAATATTTTTTGTAATTTTCCTCCAAATGCATTTTCCCCCAAATGACTTGAGTCCCTCAACCAAAATCTACGAGTGCTAATCTCTATCTATGTTAAATGATGTAAAACCAATCATCAAACCCAAAATTAGGGTAGGAACTGTTGATTTGACCGGATCAACTTATGTCCTAAGGATAAAATAATCAAAAATATTTATACTTATCTCAAACATATTTATCTAACTTGACGGATCAGCACAAATTTACTGCTAAAAAATTACGTTAAAAAATTACATCATGAATCACATATTGTATTATTGAAATCACTCAATAAATGACAACCACAGGCTCACCTAAGAACTGTTACAGAGACGGTATCCACAAAGGGCCAAATGGATTGGATTTCATGGTAACAATCTTTACTTGGAAGAAAGTAATTCAAGCCATGACGCAAAACTTTATAAGTGAGATTCTAAATCAGCAACTCTAATCTTAAGCAACCCCAGTTTTCTACTACATCACAACTGTTAAAAATTTACAATCACCAATCTTAACCTAGCCTACCCCACCCTGCAATAACCAAGATTCAAGAACAATACTAGAAATGTACCACTTGGGACTGACTGTAGTAATGTAAGCAAATTTAGAAGGCCACCAGAAATCAACACATCACAAGATTAAATTCGTGGAAATTACCAGATCATCAAACCCCTGCTGCTCTGTTAATCATCCACCAACGATCATATGGAGCATGAGCGACGCTCGGGCGTTGTCACAGTATCTCTTGATCAGGTCCAAGTACTGCATTGCATCGTGCGGGCTCAGACCTTCCATGAAAAACCGAAACAAGTTAGAATGGGTCTCCCGCATGGCATCCAAAGACTGCTGCAGCACTCTCTCCTGCTGCGGTTTGTTAAGCTCTGTGGCTTCCAGCAATGGCAGCAGATCCCTCTCCTCCTCTTCAAAGTGCTGCCTGCAGTTGTCCTGTAGAACAATTATCACCAAAACCATCAGCAATGGAACTCAAATTATTCTGAGTGAGTGATAGATTGATAGTGTATAATTGGATCAACCTTTAATCTTTTCAGCCGAGAGGAAAGATTCGCAAAGGCCTCTTGATATTCAGGGCTGCCTGGATTCATCACTCCTATTGTCTTAATCTCTTCTTTGATTCCATTCATTATAGGTAAGTGCCGAGCGTGTTCTTCATTAGCCGTTTTGCAGACTCCTGCGCCATTGAAGAAAGTATGAGCATTGTCCAAGAAGGGGCAATATAGGAATGATGGTACAACAAGATCTGTAGCCTTGTGCTAGCCGTACAGTACAATTGTGCAAGCGCCAAAGTACACCGTGCAACAAAAGTGTAGTACATTGTATTGCGGTTATTGTACCTAAGTAGAATTAGAAGCAGCGAAAGTGGCGAACCTCCAATGGGTACAAGCACTGAAGCACACCGTGCAACAAAAGTGTACTACATTGTACAGCAGGTGTTGTACCCCAGCGGAATTAGAAGAAGCAAACATGGCGAACCTCCAATGGTACAAGCACCGAAGCAGACCGTACAACAAAAGTGTAGTACCTTGTACCACAGTAGAATTAGAAGCAGCAAAAATGGCGTACCTCGATCGGCGGCCTCGAGGATCTGGAAGAGGACGGTCTCCTCCATCTGCGCGTGCTCCAGCATCACCTGCAGCAGCTGCGAGTAGCTCTTCCCGAACTTCTTCACCTCCATCCTCGGGCTCCCCATCGACGGATCCCCGCGGAGCTTCCCACCACGCGCCGCCAGGTCATCCGCCCATTTCAGCATCCTCTCCAGGTGCCAGATCATACTCCGGTGCTGCAGGAGCACTACCGACACCACCACCGGTGTCGCCTCGCCGCACCATCCCCAAATGCTGCTGCTGGTGCTGCTGGTGCTGCCAGCTCCGGCGAGGGGAGGGTCGGGGAATTTGGAGTCCAAGTAGGAGAGTATTTCTTCGACGGAGCCTGAAACGACGTCGGATTGGTACATCAGGGTTGGGGTCTGGTGGAGCTCAGAGGGGACAAAGCGGAGAGTGACCGGTTTGTAGAGGAGCGCCATCCGAATGTGGGAAGTGGCGAAGGTGTTGGGCGGACCGTAGAGCTTGATCAGCGGTTTGTTGGGTGACTTTTTAATCATCTCCGATGGCGCGATCTCGGCCGCCGATTTCTTGGCATCCCCGATGCAATTCCCCATCAGATTAAGGATTGATTGGTTGATTTCTTCCTCCGCGCAAGCAAGCAAACAAACAAAGCAACCAACCGGGAATGCGATCAGTTATACCAAATGCTATATCATTGAATTGAAACCCTTGGAGGAGCAGGGGAGGGAGAGAGAGAGAGAGAGAGCGCTTTTTGGTGGTGGGAGTGGGAATGACTAACGAGAATGAGAATGGAACCAAACATATGCTCCTCTCTCTCTCTCTCACTTACTTGATGTCATGTGCGGTAATGCTTTTCCTTCATTCACAAGGGAAAATTATTGGGTCTTTCTTTACTCATTAAATTTTTATATTTTTATTTAAAATAAAAAAGATACTACTCCTTATCTTTCATTTAAAATGTTTTTTTTATTCTTCCTATTCGTTTCATATATTTTCTTAAAAAATATAATTATATATTTTACGGATAATTGAGTTTAAATTTGTTTTTCCATAATAATTTTTAAATTTAATTACTATTTTAAATTTTTTGGCACTACACTTCCTTCTTTATTGTATTGTTTATTCTATCATTCCTCTCCCACCCAAAGTGTTGTAATATCTCGAAATTCATTGTTTTCTTCGCGCGAAACCGGAGAGAAAAAATTCGGCAACTACAAAATCGAACCAGCCATTTGCTTGCCCACGATTCGCTAATCTTGAAGACTCACCTATTCTCCAGTTGCAGGTCTCTCTATTCGCTTCGAAATCGATGTTGTCATCCAGTCGGTTGCGCTATGTATCCGACAAGAATCGACACACATTAGAGTTTTCGAAGATTAGTAATATATTCGGAATATGTTGTGCTGATGCAGATGTCTCAGTCCTATTGTTGACAGAGAAGCACGCTCAAATATTGAAGAAAAATAAACCCGGTGGAAATGAGTAAGCTATCGGATTTTGCGAGAAAAATCATGTTCTATGTTAGGATACTGTCGGGATTTAAACAACACAAAATTCGATCTTACAAATTGTAGTTACAACAACACCTCTAACAAGGTTTTCTTCTACTATCTTTCTATTTTTCTTTGTTTTTTATATAACTCCGTGGAGCTTCCATGGGGCTTTTGATGCAATTGGTTGAAGTCGATTGAAGTTACTCAATCATTTTGGATTGAATAGTTGTATATCGAATCGATGCAGACCAACTCTCCCGAAACAAAACTCAATATTATTCGAGCTCATTACCTGTAATAAAACTTTATTAACATATATTCTGTATTTTTATGAATCTTAAATTTGCTCTAAAAGTGTGGATGGCCACTTGTTTCGGTGCACGTGTTACACTAAATTCATCTTGATTCTTGTTCTTTCTCTACGGGTCCCCGTCACCAACGAGAGAAACCAAAATGCAGCACAGATTAATCCTCCATCATTCCCGAGTTCCAATCTTCATTGCCAAAGAAAAATCTAGTTCTACTTCCGGTCTTGCAGGCTTTCCTTATTTGCTTTGTAGTTGGACTTCTTTGTTTCCATTAAATAAGTTGTCCTCTTTTGCTATGTGTCTCCAGTGGTTTCGGCTTGGATATTGAATATTTGTGTTCGATTGTAGCAAATGTTATTTGATCAATGTTTGCCAGATGTTTTGTCAATGTGTATTTAACCGTTGTTTTTCATTTATTTAGTTTCTACTTGTTGTTGTCGTGGTGGCGATGGTTGTTTTAACTTGAAGTAGGGAAGAGATGGCATGCCGCCCGCACTCTTTCCTTGTATTTTTAGCCATGATTTTTAATGATGACATTTGGAATTAAAGTGCAATACTCGTAATAGATTTCTGTTGCTCACGGATAAAGATCTTACTAGCTTGAGTTATTGGCTGAATTGAAGAGTGCTGCTCTGTGTAGTATGGGTCCTCACGCCTATGATTGTAGCAGTACTGCTTATTTGGAAATATGAACATTCAGAAGATGTACTAGATATGTTATATATTTTATACAATCTAAGAGATGTTGTTACTAAAAGACGACACAATTGGTGTAAGCTTTGATTGCACACATAAATCCATGTCTTTATTTTTGTTTTATATATGGACATTTGTTTTTTTCAATTGTTAGTTGATCATCATTCGCCAAGCAAGACCCTATTTTGCTATAAATATATGATTCCTAGTTGTAACATTGTAGATAAGCTCTATCGTGGTAACATATATGATCATCTCGGGAATATTATCATGATGAATTCATCTATGGTTATCGACAATAAGTGAATATTTTGAATAAAAAATGGTCAGTTTCCCAAGCACAGGTTACTAGGGCATTCAACCACAACTTTTTGCTATATCTGATCGCTCACAATAAACCTTTATATTTAAATTTTCGACTAAAATTCCCTGCACTTGAATATATATCAAAACCATATTGTCAAAGAGCATCATTCATCTCTTGAGTCATGAAAATACTATTTAAGGTTTCAAGAGTCATATTCTTTGTTTTATTTTTTCTTCAAGTGGAGACATTTTCACTTCAATTTTTTTTTTTTTTATTCAAGCTTCTTAGCATCTTTTGAAACCAATCTTTGTTCATTGCATTATAAGCCAAGAGTGTAGGCTTGATTGACCACATCCTTGAATCGAGTATAATATAAAGACATGGTTTCTTCATCTATCATCTTCAAAGCATCAAACATACTTTCCATTCTTTAGAGTTTTGTTTTCTTGACTTCAGCAGTCCCTTCAAAAGGCATTTTCCAAGGCTTTCATCGGCCAAAATTTCAACACCAAGGGTTAACATGTAAACCTCCATCCTATTTTTCTAGTTGTTGTAGTTGTTCCCATCGAAAACTGGTGGATGAATGGATGAGGTTGCTTTAAGACTAATCTTGAACCACGGACAAACCTACTCAGGGTATTGAGCATGCTACTCTAATACCATATTTTGGAAACTAGTACACCAATTGAATAAGAGGTCCAACTCCTCCGAGTTACTTGCACAACGGAACTGTGAAACATTTTAACGTAAACACAACTTTACAACATGGTTTTCGTGTGGTTGAACCTGCAGTGTGTGTTCGTGCACAAATCGATGACTGAATTAGTGTAATAATGAAAATAACACACAAAATTTGTTTATCCAATTCGGCTTTCCAACCTACGGCGTTCTAAAGGACTGGGTGTTACTACTCTGTAACAGCTCCAATAGAGCAGTGGCCAAGCTAAAAATAAGGTTGAATACCAGTTGGTTATTTCCTTCGGTTTTGACTCCAAGAATCCTTCTTCTCGTCGGCTTCAAACCTTCATGAATGAACCTCTCAACACTCTATTAGATGGAGAGAAAGACACACTCAGAGTTCCTGTATGCCATCCACGAAAACACACAAACATATATACAAAAATACATTGAATATTAAGACATTTTACCTTTTCATTTAAGACATTGAGAGTAAAGTCGCACAAACACTTACCAGTAAATCAAAATTTGATATGCATTGAATATTAATATAAAAATTTTTATGTTTTAAATGGAGGCGGATTCCATGACAATTAGCCTTATTCCGCCAAATTACATGTTAATTGAATGGTGGAGATTGAAGACATGGCAAAATCGTAACATGAGTTAGTTATTGTAATTCCCCCACCTGGGCAAAATCTATGTGATCTTTTCTGTAAAGTATTTCTATGTTATACATCTTCTTTCTCTTTTATTGTGTTCTAATAACAAATACTCCCTCTGTCCCGACTAATTTGTCTCATTTAGATTAGGAACGGAGTTTTAGATATTGTGTAATTAGTGAATAATTAAGAAGTGTATTAGTAAAAATATTTATGATTTAATAAAAATAATTTTAGATTAACATTAAGATGACTAAATAGTTTAATTAAAAAAAATTATAAATTATGAATTTTAAAATGTGATTAAAGTTTATAATTGTGTTTCCAAAAAAGAAAATGACAAATTACGTAGGATGGAGGGAAATAGAAATAGTGGACAATTAAGTGGGACGGAGGGACTATTATTGTAAATTTAGAAGAAAAAATCAATAGAAAAGTCAATTTGGAATTTTTGTTTTTTAGAAGAATTTTTGTTAATTTTGAAGTTTCAAAGTTCATGTACCGATGAAAATTATATGTTTATATTTTTTTTGTTAGAACTCATATGTTCTTAGTAATATATATTGTACTCTCCAGTGATATATATATTGTGTTCTATTCTATCGAATCATATGTTCTCTAAGTATATATTTTGGGTTATCTCTCATCGCATATTCTACTCCCCAATAGTAACTGAATTATCCAATGCACACTTTCGGGTAGCGGCTGCGGGTTTTCATGTCATTAAAAAAAAAAAATTGTAACTGAATTATAAGAAATAAATTTTCTATTTTTGCAAAAATAATAAATTAAATGTCTTTTTCTATATGCAGAAACAATGAATTATATCATTGTATTGAATGAGTAGCTCTAATAATTTTAACTCTAAAAATTACAAATTGTTTTAGAGTAGTTGAATTATACACTTGTTTAGTTTTATAGATGAGAAACATCCAAAGTAAATAATTTGAACATCAACTTACTAATAAAAAGCACATCTCATTGTTGTGTTTATATGTTGGCGTTGTCCTCTTTCGTAATAACTATGTGCTCTCGCCTTGCTTATACATAATGGTATATAACAAAAGTGCAAGTTTTGTTTTGCTTATTATTTATCCTACCGTATCAAAGAGATGAGATCTAGCAGTTCCTATTTAATTAGTACCATCATAGCATCTAAAAGCAAGTAATATCATGATGTCTAACGTGTCAGTACTGTAGCGGAAGGTTTTAAATTACGAGAAACTAATACTTTCTAAAAGCAAGTAATATCATTTGAAACTAAAATCATTTATTTATTTATTTATTTCATAGAACAATTCTAAAATAATAATACTATACAATAATTTTTTAATGAAATAAAAATTCTTCAAAGAATTTCACTTATGTTTTTAGCTCTTGGGTTTGAGTTTGGTTTAAATAATTCTATTATAAGGTATTTGTAAGATGAAATAATATGATAGTTGGAAAAATTTAAAATAAAACTCACATGGAACGCTATGTAATAATTACATTAAATCAATATGTTTATAAATACTAATATCGTTACTATTAATATATTGTATCTTAAATACATTCCATGTATTAAACATTACATTTTTATTTGATTTCGGAAGTAAAAATAAATTGTTACACTAACTACTATTTTAATAATTACTTAGTTGTCAATAAAAATTAAATAAGGTGTTTGTTTTGAATTTTGAATTTCAAATTTTAAAAAGAAGCTACAGTTCATTAATAGGAAACAATTATAATTGTATATTTTGCTAAAAATCGAACCAAAATTATTTATTCTACTATAGTATGTTCATTATTTATGATTTAAAAAATAGAAATTATATTTAAATTACTTATTTAGTATAGCACTTACTAATTATTCTTAATAAAAATACATCGGTAGATTTTTATGAGCTTGTTCATCCCATTATTATAAATACCTAGACAATGACCATTCAATTTAATCAAAGCAGCAATATTTCAAATAAAACTCACCAAGTGCTTAAAATATGAGTTCTTCATCACTCAATATTGTGGGAAAGGTATGATATATATATACATTCATTTACTTTAGAAGTAAGATACATTGTTAGTGTAAGGATAATAAAACACATAAATGTGTTTTAATCATACAATACTTTTTTATTTCTAAACATTTTCTTATTGAAATGATATTGTAGGTTGACGATGAAATTCAAGGCATAGATGGAGATAGGGTGATTCGCTGTTTGAAAATGAATTATTTTCAACAAGGTCAAACCGATAAGATTTATTTGAATAGATATTGTCTAACATGGAAGGCAGTAACTTGCAAGTATTGTGTGAAAAGTGGCCACCACAACGGCCATATGGTACTGAAGATGCATAAACATTTGCATCAAGAGGTCATTCATTTTAAGTGAGCTAGAGGCTCTAATTGACTGCTCAAAAATTAAGGTACAATAAATTTTACAGTAAACTTTATATATAAGAGATCTTGAATTTATAGTAATTGCAATGCAATAGATAGTCGATAGAGTTGATCTTATTTTTCATGAAATTTTTTTCGATTTGCTTTTATTTAAATTTAGTTGTCACCCCACTTGAATACTTGTTAAATAATTATAACATCATTATGGATACTTTGACAATAATCATTTTATTTAAGTGTAAAAAGTATTGACATTTGTGTAATAATAATAAAAAAAAAAGTAGATGTTTTATTATGATATGATTATTCATAGAAATGAGAATATTGTCTTGGGACAGACAAAAATGATATAATAGGACAATTGAATTGTGACGAAGGGAGTATGTCTTTTGATCGTACAATAATATTTGGAGTTCTAACATTTTGTTGTTTGAATTGATGTTGTAGGTTGATAATAAAATTCATCAAGGCATAGATGCAAATGGGTCAATCAATTTTTGGAAACGAGTTTTTTTCAACTTGTGATTGGCCCATGAGTTTGATTTGAATAGATATTGTGTAGCATGTGATGCGATAAATGCAAGTACTGTATGGCAAATGGCCACCACAACGCGGATACAGTTTTCAAGGTGTATAGAAATTTGTATCAAGAGTATGTACCTTTAAGTGAACCAGAAACTCGAATTGATTGCCCAAAATGTAAGGTAGAATATTATTTTTTCTTCGTGTGTTTTCTTTACATATAAAACATATTGTACTTATTTAGATGAAAAATATATTTGACTGGGAATTAAGCTTGCAAGTTAACTACGTATTGAATGCGAATTACACTAGAAAATTTATCTAACTACAAAATTTAAATGGATCGGGTAGCTAGCACGCGACTCCTCTCACGAGTTCTGCCATCCATCAGCATCTAGCGTCAAGAACTCCTTACGGTTTGAACTCTTTCTCATAGAAATGCGATTTTTAAATTGTAAAATCTTGATAAATGAGCTCCAAGATGGATCCTATTTATGGCAGTGGCTCAGCTTCTTAAAAGTGACATATGCCATTGGTAGTTAGAGAATTAACTCCCCACCGTCCAATCTTGCAGATGCTAACTTGTAATCAACGGCCGAGATGGCTTTTATCACAGATTAGGATTGGGATCATGGTCAATTCAATTCCCTTCTATCATATTGTTGGATTAAAAATCTAATTGTGGGTTAAATGCAACTATTTTGGCTATTAATAACATTAAGCTTTATTAATTTATTGGGCTTAAATGTATTTAGTAAGTACGAGCCTCCTATGTGCAGAAATCCAGTAACTTATTAATTGGGTGATGAAGCCAATTAATAATAAGGGATATAAATAGAGTTGTGGTCCCAGGTCTAGATGCAACATCCATTACTTTTCATATCTCATCGTAAGAGTTACGGCAGAAATCCTAGCGGTTTTCTCAGAAAGGGTTGCGCCATAGGCTTTAAAAGCACAAAACCCTCCATTGATTTGTAGATCTGAATCCGACTATGCTGAGGAATAAAATTAGATTTATTTTGCTTTATTTTTATCTCAATTACTATGACACGGTAGATCCTGGGCTTAAGGTTAAATTCCTGATAAGTTCCAACAATTGGTATCAAAGCCTTTTCGTATTGAATTATTGAGATATTTCCATTAGATCATTTGGCGTTTAATCAAAACTAAATTTTGGGTCTTCATTGTTGTAACTTTCGGACCGCCGTTGCATGTATATTTGTGTATTTGCAAAGGATATACATATCTATATTTGAGGAATCATGATTGGCACATATGCGAAATTCCTACATATATATCAATATGAAGTAGAATATACAATACTGTGAAAGTAAATTATCATAGAACAATCCTTGCATGCGCGCACTACCAAAAAAACAGTTTTCTGCTACAATCGGAAATTCGTAACAAAAAGCCAATTTTCGTGCAATTTGCGTATTTTCTACGCATTAGTGACGACTTTTATCCGTAATGTGTACTCACGAAACAAATTTTTTTGCCATGCACATTTTCGTAACTACTACTCTTGGTCAACGATCCTTATGGCAAGTTTTTTGTTACGATATTTGTTACAAATTTTTCCTCGTAATAAAAAGTCGAGCTTCCCACGCGTGTGCCAGGTCTTTTAGTCACGATATTTGTTACAACAATGCCTCGCATTACCAAAATATTTTACCCTGATCCTTTTTCAGAGTACGCTTTTTTTTATGATTTTTTGTTACGTTATTGAAGCCGTAATAAACAATATATTCTCTTATGGTGATGAAACCGGCCGTAACAAAAATATCCCTTCATATTTGTTATGTCGAAAAACAACTTTTTGTTACAACATTTCATTTTTTTGTTACGTCATTTATTTTTTTGTTACGTCATTGAACCCTTAACAAAAATATCCATTCTTATGGTCACAGAACCGGTCGTAACAACAAACACCAAAACAAACATTTTGTTACGTCATTTCTCATTTTTGTTATGAAAAAATAGCGTTTCATAAAAACGAGTTGTTGTGGAACAATTGAATTTGTGCGTAATAAATAAACCTGCTGTGATCTTTCTTATACAACCATGCTATAAATATTACGATCGGCCATAATTGCAAACAATAAACACTATAAGGAAATCCCAACATAGGATATTAACATAACAATATTTACTAGTCAATATCCTCCAGCAAACAACAAAGTAAATTAACCAATCGAACAAGGCTAGCAACATCTCCAATTCGACATTATGTTCCGTCAAACACAAGCATTTCAAACATCCAACCTAGTAATAAGCAAGTGGGGAAATCCATCAATCCATAGCAACAATTCTTACCACACAAAAGATACATCCAAATTTCTATGCATCTATTCCATAGGTATTTCACATAGCCATAAGAACCTACCATCCAAGCACATCCACGACATGCAATTCATAATGAAAATAGAGACAAAACATAAAGGAACCAGTCGATATGCTTCAGGAGTGGCGCATGAGCTGCAATTACAAACAAAATAAGGTTTAGTTTAAGTAATATTTATTTTAATTTCGGAAGCCATACGTGAAAGTTGTGAAAGTCGATCCATACATCCTTATAGTTCCACTCAATAGGATCTTCACCGACCACCTAGCGAAAGGTAGTCGCGCCAGCAATTGTCGGCAAAATAAGGGGTGTGTCCAGGACTGCGGCGGATGTAACGAAAACCTTGACCAGGGAAAGTGTGTCACCTACAACATTCACAAGAGCAATTTAAAAGTATGTACTTCACCGTATATATCAACACATTAAACTGTACGTAAAACATGTCATAAATTATTTGAAGTGTATAATTCCCAACTTATATATCACGAGTATGTACATTCGGACATGTACTACGATACATGATATTTGACCCATTAATTAGGCACCAAACTACACTACTTTCTAATTTTCAATTCGTTTGCAACTCGAACTATAAACCAGCCATCCACAAATAAAACCTACGTAAAGCAGTTGATCATGTACAATATTAAAATAATAATTTCAATAATTAATAATTCCTTACGGTTACCCCCAAACCCGGGCTGCTCCATGTATGTGTTGTAGTATCATGCCATTGGAGATTAATTATCATTTATGCGCTAAATATAAGCAGACCCCGCAGATGAGTTCAAGTTCAGAGTAACAACCACTGATAAATCAAAATATATGCTAGTGATCTTCATCACATAAAAAAACCTATTGTGTGCAGGTCAGGACTACACAAATACTCAATAATAAAGCATCCATTCATCGGTGTTGGGACTGTAGTGTGCGCCTAAATAGTATAATAACAGCATAGCCATAAACAATGTCATGTCAGCGATGAAAAATATAAGATCAGCACAGAATCAACATTACACCAACATAGCCACTGTCCCTACAATAACAACCTATATATACACAATACTTTAACTGCCACATATGTCAAATTAAAGATGCCCATACTTAATAAAACCATAATCAACTGCACTATGAGACCTGTACAGTCACAACATCGACAATGCGGTATGAACATCATATTGAAGGATTCAAAAGAATAAAATTAAGGCACCATGCCACGAACCTGGTGTAGAGGGGCTGAGTAGAAGTCCCTTAGCAACAACTTTCTTCTCTCCGGTACGAGATAATATAAGCAAATGGGTGCCAACCTACAATAGATATTGCAGAAGAGTTGGAAGCATACAAGTTGGAAATGAAGGTTAGCCTAAAGTTGACACTTAGTTTCACAAAATCATACCATCATAGGTGATTCAGAGACGGGCCTAAGAAGCTCAGAGACCATATCAATACGAGTTGTGGCCTATGAAGAATAAACGGATCGTAGTGAATTTTTTAGCCATTCAAAGCTCGTAGGATGCAATTAAAGAAAGTATGAATATTAAGAATACTTACAGATGGGCCACTAACTGCTCCGAAGTTTCTGTGCATGAATGCATACACATCAGCCTTGATGGTTTTGAACTCAGTCATCATTTCCTTAAACTCTGCAAGTCCGCTATGCATTTCTTCCCACCCTTGCTGGAATGCTACAATATCTGTTAAACCAGTTGCCTCACTGCGGGGATGAGCTGAACTGGCGGCACTGTCAACCTTTGAGAGTTTTTTGGTCTTTCCCCCAAGAGCCCGTCGGTAAAGAGTCTCCCGAACAGCTGGAGTCCGCCTTTCCGGCGGAATCTTGTTTAGCTCATTCTGCAAATATGTCTACAACAAAAGAATCAACTGAGGCCGACCTTGCACGTATAGTTATAGAGGTAGTTAATGTCTAAATTGTATTAACATGGGGAATGAATTTATTATACCAATATCTCTTTGGTTTGTTGATTGTTTGTTCCCTTGCCTTGTGTCCGACTGGATATCCATATCTCTAAACTATCGGGGTCCTTCCCCTTCGCCTTGATCTGCATCAACACAAGGCATTGTGTCATTGAAAAACCCATCAACTATACAAAAGGAAAACGTATGGATAGAGCATAACATAGAAACAAAGAAATTTGGACTGATTTCTTAATTGCAATAAAAGGTACCTCCTCAGCGAGAGTCGTGAAGGACTTCCGCCCAGTACGATGCGGGAAGCTTCTTTTTAGTACATTAGATGCATTTTTCTTGGATTGAAGCTACATATATATGAATTATATAGATCTCAAATAAGACTCTGCCAATATAATATTCAAATTATTGTTCGTCTCTATTCCATGCCTTAACTTTTTCGTCCTGCCAGTACTCGGCCAACTTCGGCCATTGATCGGCCACAATCCGGCTTGAAGGAACCTTCTTCAATGCTTCGTTGTCATCCTGGATTGGGTTGAAGTAAGTTGATTTGATGTTGTATTTCCAATGCCTCCAAACCTCCCGTAAGTCAGCCAAGACCACTTTCTCTGCTGAGTTTGGTAATCCGCTGTTGCTCTAGTAGGACATGTGGCGTGGTTATCGCCCCGTCCAGACAAGATAGTATGAGAGTAAATAGAACTCTAAAAAAATCAAAGGAATTTATAATTAACGAAGGTTACATCACCTGAACCTCCATCCATGCACCCTGTCTTTTTCTCTCCGGTATTTCAGCAAACGTCGGGTAATACAGAGGAAGTCGAGCTCCATTGCACGCAATCACCCCAATAGCGGTCTTGTACTCGTTTACGTCAGGTCCAACAATGCTTTTTCCATCCGGCGATGTAAATACAAGCATCTTGTGATCTTTTCCCCATCCATGTGGCATTCTCGCTGCCCCCCTTCCCTGTTTCTTCTTCGAGGAATCAACTAATACAAAAAAGATGTTACATGTTATTATAAGGAGCGTGTGTACCACTTTCGTCTTTAGTTAACGCAAGATATAAACTGTCAATGCTGATTTCCAAAACGCCATCTGATGTTATCTTATCCAAGTGTGCCATATCACCCGCCTCTGTGTCTTCCATGGCCATAAGGTCGGGCCCCAATTCCCCACCCAGGAATGGCATATCACTCTCCGCAGTCTCCCTGTCTTGCGTTGGTGGGATTGTTTCGTCATCTACTTGTGCGGGGGGTATTGTCTCATCCTCATCCTGCATGGCTGGATTTGGCTCAAGGGAGGCTGGGATATCCCTAGCATTATGTTCCTGTTGGGTTTAATATTGTCAGCACATTACGGACTTATGTCAATGACAGTTAAGAACCAAGTGACGTAAAAGAATAACATTACCTCTGCAGGCCCTTCCGAATCCTGAAGCACTGCCCGTCGAGCGGACGATATCGTTGATTTGGTGGGAGCATGTATATTGCCCCCTTTCTCCCACTCTAATGTGATGGAGCGAACTTGTCGAAGCAATGGTGAGACCCGCGTTCCCTTTTGTTTTGTCATTTTTTTTGCAGTTTTCCGCATAGGTGATGGGTTCCTGCTAGCTACATTAGTTCTATTTCTACGGGGCTATTGTGTGCGGATGCCCGGGTAACAAGTCTTACGGGCGAACCAGTCGGATCTTGGGACCCTCCTACGACACCTTGTTGAGTTTTTGCCATAACCTGCAACATATAAGCATTAGGGAGTTGTGCGAAACAACAAAAAAGTCACAACATAATAAAACAAACAATGCATGTAGCTGACGAAGAAAATACAACGATAGAAAACAGAGTTGATGAAACGAGACGATTGACGCAAAGTTGTTACCTTAGGCGTACTTGAACTGATACACCCTTACAAAAAAAGTACCATATGTTGAGATGTAAAATTTATTCTGACCCTGGAGCTCAAAAATGAAGTGTGGTTGTCACACCATCAAAATGGGGGCGTTCACTAAGCAATATTTACATACAGTAAAAAATGTCCGCTATCTTCCTTCACCACTAAGCATATTCATCTTCGAAGGTTTCCTCCGAATGCCGAGCTGAAATCTCTGCATTGTCAATCTGTGTTGTTCCATCAAGAAGCTGGCCCTCAACGTCTTCCTTTAGCCAATAGTCGGCAGCTTCTCTGGCGTTGCCTCCGTCATCTAAGCGAACCTAGTACTGAATCTATGATCGATTGTACTATACACATCATATGTGTCCCGCCGAGTCACCGGAACAACAACACTCCAGTCCTCCTGAACTGGGTCTGCAATGTACCAAACTTGATTGGCTTGGGTTGCCAGGACAAATGGCTCATCAGTGGGCAAGTTCTTCGGGTACATCAGATGATTGAAGTTCACAAGCTTGTACTTGAACTCATCTTTTTTAACACCTCTCTCCGGATCCACCCAATCACATTTTAAAAGAAGGTACTTCTGTAGATTATCATAGTACACCTCTACAATGTCTGTAAAAATCCCGTAATATGCCACAGAACCTTCTCGTGGGTTATGGTCCCTAGCAGAGGCGTAACTTACTGTATCTGCCGTAACCATAACACCTGCACATTGTGTCCTCTTTCCCGAATCCGGATCTTTAACCCGATAACGTATTTCAGAAACAATGCACGAAGAGTACCGTGTTACACTACACGATGGTCCACGGGCCAATGCACGTATCCAATCCGAGATTGGGCAGACATCGTTATACGTTGGATCATCTACCTACATTTGACGTAAAGTAGTTGATGTTCAGATTCATGGTTTCAAAATTGTTTTTGGGGCGTTCCCGTGTAGGGTTACTGGTAGAGGATACTCATATATGATTGAAACCATGACGCAAATTGTTCGTTGTGTTGGCGCTGCACCTCACGTGGAGGTGCGCGACCTCGACTTGACCTAATACTATCAACGTGAATCCTACAATGCAAAAAGAGAATTGGAATATATTGAACATCAATAAAGAATGCATACAAGTATTGTGAAGTTGAGGTGAAGTAACCTTCGTATCGGACTTATTGCATCTACATTTCGTAGGATGTAACCATGAATCAGACGCATCGTATTGTAATCTAGGTTAAACCTAGAACCAAATAATCCTTTCTCTTGTTGTGTCCCTTCTTCATCACCTTGAACACCCCGGTTCTCTTTGGTCTCTATGTCCTCAAGATATCTTGAGCAGAAGGTCATGCACTATTCCATAAGGTATCCATGTGCAATAGAACCCTCAGTTTGGGCCCGATTCCGTACGTACCTCTTCAGAGTACCAAGGTACCTCTCAATCGGATACATCCACCGGTATTGCACCGGATCGTGGACCATTGCCTTCTCAGCCAAGTGGATTGGCAGATGCTCCATCACATCGAAGAATGAAGGTGGGAATAGCTTTTCAAGGTGGCATAATGTCAACGAAACTATTTCTTGTATTCGCTCCAGCTCACGAACTGTGTTGCTAGTTGAGCACACAGAATTGAAGAAGTTACAATGTTCAATCAACACGAGCACAACATTCTTGGGAAGACACTTGTAAGAAGTGATGAAGTGGCACCTTTAATTATGTTAAGACGAAGCGTGACTTGGGTTAAGTAATATAATTGTGTTACAAGGGTATACCGTCGGGCTGCAATAGGAAGAAGTCGTTGCATAAGAATGTGGCAGTCGTGGCTCTTAAGACCCTAAGTTGTTGTTGTTGTACCCTAACACGACGGGATAAGTTCAAACTGAATCCATAAGGTGGTCGTAGATCCTTCATCACAGATAGCAAGATTCATTTTTCTGGGTTACTCATAGTGTACATAGCAGCAGACAAGTATATAGAACCCCTCGGGCCGGAGACCGGGTGCAAAGAAGTGCGTATTTGCAGTAACTGCAAGTCTTTCCTTGTGTTGAGATTATCCTTTGTTTTTCCTTTAGTCCCCAAGAATGTATACAATACATTCTCACACATTCTTTTCAATGTGCATCAAGTCGAGGTTTTGACGTACTTCGTTCTCGGCCCAATAAGGGAGCTTGAACAGAATGCTCTTTTTTTTCCATGTACGTTGATTCACATCTACCTCCCGGATACGCTTTCGGGATCTCTGTGCATCAAGCTTCTGAATAAGATCAACCTTACGGTACTCAGTTCGCATATCCTAAAGCTGCTGGAGCAGTTCATTGGAAGTCAAGCGAGACGGCTTTGTCTCAAAGTCCATCATACCGTCAAATGCATGCTTATCATAGCGCATTCTATGCCCACTCGGTAGGAACCTTCGATGCCCACAGTAGCTATATTTGTGGCCATTTTTTAGATACCTGGAATGAGTTTTCACACCACAAACAGGACATGCATTCGCCCCACGAGTTGCCACCCTGACAACATACCATAACCTGGAAAATCACTGATGGTCCACAGCAACGCAGCTCGCATTTGGAAGTCCTCCTTGCTTCTTGCATCGTATGTCCGAACACCGTCATACCAAAGCTCCTTCAACTTATCCATGAAAGGTTGAAGGAAGACGTCGATCCGATCCCCCGGGCCTTGAGGACAATCTATAATTGTACAAAGGATGAACGATGGTTGCTTCATGCATAGCCATGGTGGTAGATTATATATCACAAGTACTACGGGCCAAATGCTGTAGCTAACGCTCATATTTCCAAAGGGGTTGAAACCGTCGGTGGCCAACCCAAGGCGTACGTTGCGAATATCCTCAGAAAGCGTGGGGTACCGATGATCAAACCCCTTCCACGCAGGAGTATCTGCTGGGTGACGCATCTTGCCATCATCGACATGCCTTTCGGCATGCCATCGCATAGATGATGCAGTTTTGGAAGATAAGAACCATCTCTGCAATCGGGGAATCAACGAAAAGTACCTCAACTTCTTCACGGGAGATCTATCTTTACCCTGTGTGAATCTTTTTTCCCCACACACAACACAAGAATCACGGTGAACATCTTCCCCGATAAACAACATGCAATTGTTGATCCATGCATGGATAGTCTTACATGTGAACCCCAAGTCCTTCGTGATCTTGTTAGCCTCGTAGAAGTTCTTCGGGAGGACAACATCATCTGGAAGTGCATCCCTTAACAACTCTAACAAAAAGTCAATAGATTTATTAGATCAGTGGCACAAAACCTTCAAGTGCAAAAGGCGAGCGATAAATGAGAGTCTGCTCATTTTTTTGCACCCTGGTATAAGCTCATTCTCTACATCTTCTGACATTTTTTTGTACCCCTTACTGTCACGATGTATATGCTCATCCTCCTTATCACTAAGAGGTTCAGTGTTACTGGACCCCGGCCTGGTGTCCTCTGTGGTTGCGCACTCTTGCAACAGAAGATCTAGTTCATCCTCCCAACGCATTGGAACATTGTCTTTTGCAGCCGCATAGTTCACCTCTCCTTCCCCATGACAAGTCCAAACCTTGTAGGATTGGTCGAATCCATAGCGAATACAATGGAGCAAGATATCCCTACGAGATTTAGTTATGCGATTGCCACAGGACGTACAGGGACAATAGATGGAAGCATCAGAGTTCCTATATTTGAATGCAAAATCTAAGAAAGCCCTGACCCCATCCAAATATTGAGCCGAGATATGGTTCGCATTGTCTATCCAACTCCTATCCATCTAAAAAGACAATATACATGTGATTCCATCAACAAAACATGCATTCAAACTTGTAATGTTTAATTCTTGATACGGGCTTGCACCCTCAATTTAAAAGAACAAAGTTATAGCATCAGCTTTAATAAACTGCATTTTTGTACCTATAAGTCCATGTATTGCATTTATAAGTAAAACATAACATTCATCACAACATTAAGGCCCATGGTTTAAAATCAACCATTATCTCCACTTTAGAACCTTTTATGGATGCCATTTAATGAGAATTGAATGATTTCTATGCTCCGCCAAAAATTCTGAGCTTCATCTCTAGATACTAGAGCAGCAAGCATTATCCATACCCTACTTGTGTCAAGAAAAATTTCTAACTATTCTAAATTTTTCTTAGCCCTTTTGTACGAATATGAAAAAAATCCTCAAATCTGATGTCCAAAGAATAATTCAGGTTTGTGGGAATGCACACAACACTTAACTACACCACCACTCGAGAAAACATAGAACACTTAGAAGCTTTGTACTGTGGAAATGCATTAAAAAGAAATCCGACCTTCCGTTAAACTCAAGTCTGCTTATCCTGAATTCACACTGCACGCCTTTGTCTCCACAATTTAGTATCCTGTAAAAAAAACACAAGTTAAATATGCACTCATTTTCAGTAAAAATAGGACAAATGGTGTTGCTTCCGAAAAATCGACGCATACAACCACGTAACCAAAAAAATGGTGTTGTTTCCGACAAAGGAGCCAATACTTAGAGTGTAGATATGATATCATATTCATATTATGCAACATATGTATGTATCATTATCTAACAATATATGCATCTGAATCAGTATATATTATGCTGTAGAATCCAATGAAACTTACTTAAATATCCACACATAATAACATAATTCAAAGTTGTTTATATTGGATAGTGTTGGTAGATCATTTTTGTACTTCATTGCAATTATTGCAGGATGAAAAGATAAAATGAGTGAAAGTCTTAGGAGGGTACACCAATAAATAAATAAATAAATAAAATTCACAAAACCATCAAATCATATAGTGTATTTATTAACTTTGCTTCTGTGTGCACTTTGGTTTTTTTTTTTTTTAATAAAAAATCTTGTTGCATCATATAATCTATACTAAGATAATCATCTTCCCTTTATTTAATTATCACATCCGACACCTATTTTCTATTCAAAACATAATATCCAAAAAACCTTTTTCCATTCAAAAAATTTCAAATCCAAAAAATCTACAACACAAGCACCCTTTCCCATATATTCCAAAAAGCAGCCTTATAGATGACTGAAATGCAATACAATTACACAAACAGAGAAGCCGTCATATCTTCATGAAAATTGAAACAGAACCATACACCATTGGAATTTCGCATATATTTATCATAGTGTAGGATGCCCAAATTCCATAAACCAAACAACACAAAACATCACACTTAACTTAATCAATAAATTCACTTGGCACAATTGTATACAATTACAATTAACAATGTAAAAAATTCAAAAGTACTGCACTTTGCTGGCTAAATGAATTTTCAGTATCTGTGTTACAAACACATCACCAACATGGTGGATCACGCAATACCAGAGTTTGCTTCTAACAAAACATCAGACTTCCAAATATATGACTCAGTGTGTAAAAATATACAAAAGCATATTTTAAATCTAACAGAATGAGCTTCAAAATCAAACCTAGAGGACATTCTACAATGTAAAATACTACAAATCTTTCAAACTTATCAGCCATTGGTTGTTGTGGCTGAAAAACCAACCCCAACAACAAGCAATGAACAAATAGAATGGAAACGCAAAATAGAATAAACGAAAGTCACCGACGAGGGCATGGCAAGGAAGGAAAGGAGGACAATAAGAAATAAAAGAAGGGAGAAGCTAGAGAAACCACCTACCTGATGGGTCGATGCCGGAGACGTGTTCCAAAAGCCCTCACTTCAACGGGACGCTGCGGCGGGGAGAAATCGACCAGCGACCAACGCAAATGAAACTGCAAACGGAAGAAAAATAAATTAAAAAACAAATATGAGAAAAATGTTATCACATTATCGATTTTTAACCTAGAGGGCATTGGCGGCTGAGCAAGTTTGCAGAAGAGAAAAGAAGAGGACGAAGAAAGAATGAACTTCGCGTTGGAGAAGAAAGGGGGAGGGCGGGTGTGGGTAGGGTTTACTATTTAGATATTTATTATATATATTTTATTCTTAATAAATTTTATAAATATAATTAATTAATAATAAATCTTTATTTATATTTATTTTACATTCAATTTGTTAAAAATACATTTTCAATAGAGGGGAGGGCGGCTTGTAGGAAGTGCAATATGTTTACTTATTTATTATATATTGTAATAAATTATATATATTATTAATTAAATATAACTTTTTATTTATATTTATTTTACATTCAATTTGTTAAAAATTATTTTCAATATTTGAAGTTTGATTATTTTTTTTAATTTTTAATTTTTTATTAAAAATTATAAAAATATATTTCCATTTGTTACAGAATAAAGTCGTAATTATTGTATTTACGGTATTTTTTGTCATATTTGTATTAGTTACGAAACATTTATCGTAATAACTAAAAAAAGACGTTGACTAATAAAAATTACTTTTGTCACGATAAAATTCATAACAAAAACCACTTTTTATTACGACGATATTGTTACGAATCTTCCTTCCGTAATGAAAGCCCCTTTTTTTGGTGGTGTAGTCATCATACAACTTCATCTACACATTTTCATTCATAACTAGTAATAACAAATAGTCAATTATCATTCTTACTTTTCCAAAAGGTAGTAGATCTACATGTTGTACATAAAAATTTCACATCGACTTCCGTAACCTTTCTTAGAGCCTCAGCAGATCCATCCATGGTACTTCAATGACCTGATGATCTTTTTTCCTTAGTAACTTATAAATCCTTTCCTCTATAGTTTCTTGCATAATGATATTTTATATTGGTAGTTCATCCTAATTCAAAATTTTTTAGACTTACGTATGAATCCGCTAAATGAGAACAATGTTTATTGCAGTTTGTTTCCTTCCAAAATGGAACTGCTGTTGATCGAGATATCCCAAATTTGAATCATTTCATTTTTTTTTAGGAAGAATCCTCTGTTGTCAATCCATTCCCCAACAAATTACTGGCCCGGGATGAAAATCAAACTTTGGAGGAGATTTCTGAGAAATTTAATAAGTCAAATCTAGTAAACTTTAAGGGGACGTTTGGTACAGAGAATGAAATTGCAGATAGTAGAGAATGAAATTGGAGAGAAATTCAAAAATCAAGACTCAATCATATGTTTGTCCCCGGGCCGCTATAACTATCCAAGAAGACACTCGAGATCTCTCATTAGGTCTGGGGTCTTGTCGGTCCGGAGGGAGGGAGCTAGAGGGAAGCCCTCAAAAAATGAATGGATAGGACAAGAATAAATGATTAATCTAACAAAAGAGAGTTTTAGTGAGTGAAAATTCATAAAAAAATATTTCTCGTGATTTTTTTTAAAACAATAAATTATAAATTATATACATAAGTTTTATAAGATCATATTTTAGTATAATTTTTTTAAAAAAAAATCGTAAAAAATTAAATACTTGAATGATAAATTAAATATAATTTTTGTAAAATTAAAATAATATAATATAAATAATTATAAAAATTAAATATTACAAAAAAATAAATAAAGATAAAAATATATATATTGTAACATCATTTTTCTCCATTTCTCTAAATATAGATTAGAAATGAAAACAAAAAATAGAAATGATTTATTTTTCAAATTCTATTTTTCTGACTCAAAGAAACAAAATAAATGAAAATATTTTCATTTCTCTGATGCCAATTTCCTATACCAAACACACCCTAGGAGAAGATTATTCCCTTCTTACATATATATATATATATATATTTAGAATGGTGGCTGTGTTCAGGTTTTCCCATACCGGTTTAAGGTGTCATCAATGTTCTTGTTAGACAATAAACCTTTGTTTGTGTCTATTCCTCTTCTCTTTGGTTGGTAAGTTAAGGATGAAAAAATAGTGAACTGGATTAAAGTATCAGAAGATTTGAAGTTGATTACATGTCTCTGGATGGACCCTGTGATTGATGATCTTGGAGACCAGATTAATGGTTGAATAAATGGATAGATCCAAGTTAGATTGAATAATTCATTAAATTGAATCTCGTATTTAAATCAAAATTTAAATATGATATACAAGTAAACCTTTTGCTTGCTTTAATTTTTTGAGTTGTTTTCCATTGATAAAATTTTGCTAGATCTTATTAGTATTTTATTTTGATTTTTCTTAAAAAAGGTTTATAAATTATATTAAAAAATAAAAATAATATTTATTTTATAAATTGTATATAAAGATACGGGACCATGGAATTTTAAATTAGGATAAAGTTTTATATTTTTTATATTTCTTAAGTTGTAATTTTAGAGTGTTTGAAAGTAATTTAAAATTAATAAAAAATTATATAAAGAAAAAATGTGTTGATTATTTCCATGAATGCATAATTTCACAATTGGAGCTACCTCCATTATTATTATTATTGTTATTATTATTATTATTATTATTATTATTGTTTTTGATTGTTCGGTACAAACTAATATAATTCTCCAAAAAAAATTAATATTTTACACACTCATTATTTTTGTATAAACTACGCAATGGTTTATAGTGAAAAATATTCATGTAAATCATTTCACAATATAAACAAAGCCTTATATTTCTGCCATAATTTTTTTTTTTCAAAAAAAATAATATACAAAAGTATTGAATTGGAATATTGTATGAATTATTCTTAGAAAAAATATAATATATTATATACAAAGCGTAGAAAAATCCAAAATATATTGGCCTAAATAAATAAAAGTAAATAAATATTATAAAACATGAAAAGAAATATAAAAATAAGTTAGAGTGTTTAGAACTTTGAGATAATTTGAAATTAATAAAAATAAAAAATAATAAAAAAAACTACAAAGAGTAGGTTTGATTATTTTAATGAATGAATAATTTCAAAATTGGAGTTACCTCTATTATTATGATTATTATAATTAATTTTTAAGTCACATATTTTTCTAATGTTACTTTCTTTTAAAATAATACTTGAAAGTAAATACACTAGATAAAATAAAAAATGCAAAAGAATCTTAAAATAAATTGGCATAAATAAATATTATAAGATATGAAAAAAAATATAAAAATATATAAAAAAAATATTATAAAAATAGGTAAATTGGATCGTGGACAGTTGATTAAGGTTCACTTATTTCTTCTTCACATAAATCCCTCCACTCCTATATCTTTTTCACACACTCTCTCCGGATTAGGGATTAGGGATTAGGGTTATTTGTTTGGATTTTGCTAGCTTAGTTCTCGGTTGCACTCTGAACTTTGATTTTCAGTTTTGTCATGAATAGTTGCTTCCTTGTTTTAGTTTACTCTGTTTGTTTCGGATGCTTTTGTTGGAGCAATGAAATAAGAGAAGTCAAATGAGATGGAGGCACCAGATTAAGTGAAATTAGGATTTGGCTGGAAATTGGAAATAGATCGTATTACTATCTACTTCTTCCCTCTTTTCTTATTCTTCATGAATTTATTTTATTTTCTCTCTCCCTTCTACTTCTACCTTAACTTCTTCCCTTCTTTTCTTCTCTTTCTTCACTGCCATTGTCTTGTCGGAGGCTTCACCCTTCCGAGCCCTCTTGGCACAGCGGCCAACAACTTCCTTAGAAGTGGTATGCTTGTTCGGTTGGGACTAGCCAAAAGAGGTTGGGTCAAGAGAGGTGGAAAGAACGACAGGTCTTGCTTTTTGCCGTCCTACTCAGCCATAGCCGTTGTCGCCCCATCTCCGATTCCCAATGCGGAGACCTGAGGATCTACGGAGGTATATGTCACCAAGATTTCTGTCCGCTTCATCCTGGTAGAGGTCATAGTAGTAGTCCTCCATGGCAGAGGAGGTGGTGGCAGCTGCAGCTGCGGTCTCTTCTTGATCTAGCTCGACTACAGTTTGATGTGAAATCAACATTTTTTAATGGCGATTTAAAGGAGGAGGTCTATGTTACTCAACCTAAATGATTTATAATTGAAGATACTGACGAGAGCTGCACAAAGCCTTGTAGAGGTTAAAACAACTCCGCGTGCATCATATGGAAGATAGATTCCTATCTTTGTGAAAATGGATTTGAGCGAAACAAGTATGAACCCACTTTATACGTGAAGAAGCAAGGTAAAAACAATTTGCTAATTCTTTGACTTTATATTGATGATATGATTTATATGGGTTCATATCAACAAAAGTACGTTGTTGATTTGTTGAAAATGTTTAAGATGCTGAAAATTTTAAGGTTGCAGCAACACCTGTGAACTTGAATGAGAAGTTACAGATTGATGATGGTTCTTGACAAGCAAATGATTTGAGAAGCTTGATTGGATGATTGGTCCATTTACATCCAGACATTGCTTTCCTTGTGGGAGTATTTTGCAGGTTTATGCATTGTCTTTAATTGACAACATTGTTTTGGTGTTGCAAAAAGAGTGTTACGTTATTTTGTTGGAACAATTCAATTTGAAAAATAGGACCAAGCAATTTTTATTATAATTATTCATTCTTAATAGTATTTTCAACCTATGCAATGAATACCTTTCTAATTAACATGATACTTTCAAGTTTCACCGGCAAACATGAAAAATTTTAAGATTTTAAAATTCATTTATTCGGATCAATGTATTACTATTACCACTATTATTATTATTATTATTATTATTATTATTATTATTATATCATTTATCCTGATTCAAAGTATTATTATTGTGAAAGGAAATGATGTATTTTTACCGGAAACTATGTAGAGTTAATAATATTATTTTCAGTTCAAAATCACAATCAAACACACCCACATGTTTATGAAAAACATTCATAGAAAATAATATTACTTAATATTATATATATATGTATAATTCATTTAGTCTATATTT